ATTTTTAAAGCCATTCGCATATCACGGGCCATCCAATATTAGGTAAAATACATGTATCCCTTTTCTTTATTATTATATATATGTCGTGAGCCATCCGATATTAGGTAAAATACCCGTTTTCTTTATTATTATCATATGTCTTCAGTTTAATACTTGATACATACCAGTTTAATTTAAATTAAAGCATATAAAAATCTTACGTTCTTTTCTTTTTTCCTGATATGCTGTAACAGGGAGAAATGGGACGTGACATTAATCACATGACCAATCAACATGACAATGGTAAGTCGGCTGTGATAATTAGGTAATAAAGGAAAAACAAAAAGGATTGTGAAAAGAATTATATAATTTAGCTTTAGCCATGTCGCTGTATCATTAATTATTATTATGTCTAAACCGCCATAGCCAAATGTAAAGTATAAAAGAATGTAAAATGTAAAGTAGTAAAATGTAAAGAGGGAGATGCAACATAGAAGTAAGAAAATAAATAAAGACTCGGTCAAATACAAACATGTCTCAAATTATCCTTTCATTTATTTACCCAGTAACAGTTATGTGAATCTCTGTTAGAGTTAGTGACTGACTCACCATTACACCGTTACATTTTTGATAGTGACTGTGAGATTCGTACAAGGACAACGTCCAGTTAACCTCCCCCGATATTTTCTCGTGAACACTTTTTTGACACTTTTCCAACTCCTATATCACGAAAAACAAACCATTCATTATTAAAACTCCTTTTACTACTCGAATTTTTAATTTCTACTTTCCTTTTATTTACAAACATCTACGTGGCAGTTTGAGAAGAGCAACCCGACCTAACGAAGGTGCAACAAGAACCAATAATGCCACCCAGTAACGACACATGAAAGACAATAGAAGAACATACCGACGACAAGACGACTACTGAACAAGAGGAGGTGGACGAAGACCTTGAAGAAATGACGATTAGCCACCCAAGTGAGATCCTGGAAGAATGCCCTGATGAAAATAAGCCCAAGCAGCCGAAGATGATCAAAGGGATGATGTCATGAAATTCACTTATAATGGAGTCCAGATAACCAAAAGTACTGGGATACTGGACAAGAAAAATGACGAAGTGAGGGAGTTGGCAAGCAAACTGAAAGATGATGGATTAGTGCAAGACGTAGGAAAGGAGCATCATCAAGAGAAGGTGACGGACCGACCGGAAGATATATTGACAAACGACAAGGCAGAAGGGAGTCTTGATGAGAAGATGTGCCTGAGCCGCAAAGAGAAGTCGACCGTGTAAAAAAGGTTAATGAAGCTGTCCAAGGGATCGATGCAACGATCAGAAATCAAGAGCTAATCCGTAATGAGATATCAGTTGCTCATGACAGCCCAAATTCGTAAGGAAATGACAATTACAGACAACAGAGCCATAGTGCCCAAGGTCATCAATGGCCAGATCGAAGTGGAAGACAAATCAGAAAAAGAAAATAAGTTAATAATGAGCCACGGACAAAACAAAGAACTTTTTGGTGAAATCTTAATGTGTGGTACACATAAGATAAGTGTGGGGGAATGTAGGGATGCGACGTTAGTCATATGACTGATTGATGTAACAATGGTAAGTTGGCTGTGATAATTAGGTAATAAAGGAAGGATGGGAAGGATTGTGAAAATAATTATGTAATTTAGCTTTAGCTATATCGCTGTATTATTAATTATTATTATGTCTAAGCTGCCTAAGGATCCTAACGATTCTCTTTGATTCTGTATTCGATTCTCAAGTTTATATTAAATTTAATAGGTGGGGTATACCCACCATTATTTTTAATAGTATTCCGAACCTCATGCGATTTTGTTTGATTCTATTCGATTCCAATTTTCGGAACCATAGTCTTGCCTAACGTACTTTATTATTTTATTCACATATGTATTTCATGTATTACAGGAACTACTATCTATGAACAATTCTACGTATCACTAGACTATATCAATTTTACTTCATATCGGCTTGTTGCTGTTAGTGTCACCCCAGAGGGGTTGTGTTGAGGCTAATATATCAAAGCCCCATTAGTATTATTATTATATCGTTATGTTCTATTTGGTACTGTAGAATTTTTAAGGAGAAGTTTGAATATGGAAAACTGGGAGTAGTACCTATTTTTGATAAATAGAACCACTGTAGAGAGAATTCTTCTAGACTCGACCACCTGCAGATGGGTGTACCATTTAATTTCCACCTTTTTAAAGCTACTCAAGAATATTCAAGGAACTTATTTCACAGACTTAAGGCTCATAGATTGTTTTAGCTATTGGTACTTACTGCTGTTTTGGTTGCCTTCTCGAGATAGGTAACTGTTAGAGTAATCTATTACTGGATTGAAATAAGGCCTTTCTGGAATCTTGCAGAAAGAGACACCAGGTATCACAGGAAAACAATCATCAAGCTATCTTTTACCGAAAGCAGACACCTCATACACCTTGCAACTTCTAGTGATCATCGTAACACCAACTGGACGATTGTCATGCCATGATACCTTTTTTAAAAATCACAATCTCAACGCCTACTGGATTAGCATGTGAAACAACTTCTTATGAGAAACAGCACTTATATAGGTTATGGCACCAGATACCATATTAATTCTATTCAACTGCCCTCACATGGAATTGAACTGGTATTTTGTGATTTGATTTGTGGAATATTAATCACTACACTATAAACCTACAGGTCTCTATTAGGATCCTTATACAGTATATATTATATTTAATTATTTGAATCTTAATCAAATTTAGTTAGGCTATATAAAGATAGAACCTTTAATTTTTCTAACAATTGTAAATTGAAAACAGATTGAAATAAAAAAAGTTGCATAAAGAAAAACTATATATGAAAAGATTTTTAATCTAACTTTAATAAAAATATATAACTAATTAGCCTAGTAGATAATCCATAATACAAAAAATACCTTAGCTTAAAATTATTTCAATCTGATAATTGTTTAAAAGATAAAAATTTCTCAAAAGAAATTTGAAGTTGTAAATAATAAGAATAAATATAATATTTTATTCAAGATCTTAAATAAAAATTATTGAATGGATTATTTGGATATTCTGATCAACTTTAAGAAATATATATTTTAAATGATAATTATTAAAATTTAAATTAGATTAAGATAATTTATAAGCTGGTAATAACATTTCTATTTTTTAAAGATTTTACTTAATATGTAGATTTATTTTCAAAATAAATTAATTTATATATTAAGTAGAACTATAGATGAAGAAGCAAGTTAATTTAAATGAACTTTTTTTGAAGGGGAGTTATCCCAGTAGATAAATATTATCTCTTTATTTGATTTGTATATCAAGGTATACATTATAAAAGAAACATTATCTCTTGGGTGCATTACATATAACAAGTTAAATACTAGCTTGTCTATTTGTACCATATTTAACTAATATCGTAAAAAATTTCAAAAGCAATATTAAAATGTCAAATATGGGAGTAGTGGTTATGCCTACCTACTTAAAAGGTTGTTTGGTAAAATCTTTTTTTTGAATAAAAGAAATTGAGAAGAAAAAATTAAAAGTAACTAAAACTAAAACTTTATCAAGTAAACTATAAGATCTATAAGTAAAAAATAAATTATTTCCTCAAGAAAATCTTCAGACAGGCTCATTGTTCCATCTCTCCAACTCTTTGATTACTATAGATAGTGGAGTACACATGATATTATTTGTTGTTAAAGTTGTTGTTGTGACACAAAACCAGTTTGAGCTGGCACAGTTTTTGTTTTGATTTTTATATGAAATCTAATTGGATGATTGGAGGATGCAGATCATCTGAAGGGGGTAAACTGATTTCAGTTTTTTGTTTGAAAAATTTTTGAACTTTTGAGATAGTGCAGCACATATTACTGTGAAAATATTATATATGAGGGTTAACTTGAAACAAACAATAGATCCATTAACTCTGTTTGAGTATGTGTTTTGAAAAATATTTAATTTAATGAGTATGATAGTAATAGTATAGATGATTTTTATAATAAAATAAGAGTAAGGAGGAATACAAAAGAACTGAAGAAAAGAGAACTGCTATGGGCTTTTTCTTATGCAATTGAAAGATAAGCAAGACTCCCAAACTTGAATAGACTTTGACCAGAGGTCCCATTCTACTGCACTAGTTGTTTTGAAAGTTCTTGAGTTCTTGAGCTGGGGCTCACTTGCAATAGAGTATAAAACATTTTTTCTTGTTTAAAATTACTATAAAAAGAAAATTTTTAACAAAACAAATATAATCAGAAAGATTTAAATAGATTTTTTTTTTTTTAAAGTAGGTAAACATCATCATTTTATTAATTGTAAAATTGTTTAAATTTTATATATGAAAAAAGCAACAACATCTCTTATATAACTTACTAAGCTAATAAGTCTAATACTAGCTTGCCTACAAAAACTATCTAAACGATATGGAAAATAAATATTAAAACCAATATACATCCTAAATAGTATCAAGCAACTATGAATACCTACTTAGGTTTATATATAAAACTATAAGAAATTGAAAATTGAAAAAAAAAGAAAATACTAAACAAAAAAAATAAATACAACAATACTAATTATAAAGTTATAGATGCTTAGATAAAATCACTAGGCATGCCACACTGATAGTTTCATTTAACTGAAGTACTGTTGCACTTCCAGAAATGGCTAGATTACTGTTAAAAGTAAACAATAGTGTTGATAGTATATCTTTTTGATAGATTATTAGTTCTGGTGATAATATTGTTGTTGTAGTGATATGATTTGTAATTGGTTTGTTTGTTGGTGATATGATTTTGTTTTGGTTGTTGTCATCATAAAAGATTTTGTTTATGTCAATCAAAGTGTAGTGTTTTAGTTGTACAGATTTGTTTGAGAAATTGGTGGTGTTTAATTGGTTAAGTTTGAAATGTTGATCAGTTGACAGGAGTAAACTGATTGCAGTTTTTTGGTGAGAAATTTTTTGAGTGAGATTTTTTGGTTTTTGATGACACAGCAAAATATGCTGGGTGATAGTGAAAAGTAAATATTGAATATATTGTTGGTGCTCCAAGTCAACAATATAGACAATTTTGATGTGAAGTCTGATTTTTTGAGATAAAAGAAAGTTCTCCAAGCAAAAAGTATAGTTATTAAAAAAGATTTGTATATTGAAAAGAAAAGAAAATGAGAAGAACCCCAAGGAAGATTTATAAAAAAGTAACTGCCACAGGTCTTCCCTCATACAATCCAAAGAAAAAGCAAGGTTCCCAAACTTGCTTTTCTCTGGCAAAAGTCCTATTCCAATGTATTAATATAATTTTTTAATTTCCTTGAGACTCTTGTAGTAAAAAAAAAAGAAGTGTGAAAGACTTTTGAATATTGAAAAACAAAAAAATATTTGTTTCTTTAATTTTGAAGAAAATTTACTATAAAAGGAAATTTCTAAGAAAAAAGTTGTGTATGAAAAAGAGTTTTTTTTTTGGATTTAAATGGACTTTATAATTATATAAATTGTATTGTCAATAATAAATATGTAATATTAAAATAAAATAAAACAACAACAATAATAATAAAATTTATATATTAATATTAAGTTTTAAAAAGTATTAAACTAATATCAAATTGATATTAAAATAATATTGATCTATAATAAATTTAAAATATAAAAATTTTTTTTTTATCACAAACAAGTATTAAATATGAGACTTTATTTAAATAAAAATATTTATTGTTATTACATTAACAATCTTTATATAGTAAATTAATTGTAGCCTATCGCAAAATTTAAAAGATAAATTATAACTTACTTATATAAAAACATTGGAATTTTTCTTCCCACTGATCTCTTGACCAATATTCCAAAACAGCGTTCAGACTAAAGCATGTCTTTATTCTTAACAAAACCTATACACTTTCTTTAATACAACTTGACAGACCTTGGC